CTCTCTCAACTCTCCGTTCGCCTTCACTTCCTCCATGTCTTCCTCTTTTCCTCCTGCCTGGTAGTTCCACCTTTAACAACTTTTGTCAAAGGGTGGACTCATTTCTAATCCTGTCCCTCTTGGTCACTCCCATTGAAAACCTTACCATCTTTAACTTTGTCACTTCCACCTCATCCTAGTACCCTCAGCTATGGTGGTCATCAAATCAATTAGTCAACAGTTTTTCCTTTATAATTTTTGTCCATGAACATGAGTTATTGAAGACACACAGAGGTCTAGAGGTCAGATTTTTCTCATTATCAAAATAATTTGCAATCTTTGACAAACATGTGTGATGTTAGAATAGGCCCATAGGACAGGCTAAAAGCACAGCAGTTGCTGATGCCAAAGCATGAAGGAAAGGTGACTGAAAAATTACTCATGACTCAAAAGATTCAGGAAACAAGAACAAAACCAGCCCGTGGCCTTATGCTATTTTATAGTAGCTATCTACTCGTTTATCATCAGAGCAGATTTGAGTTCTTATGGCAGTTACAAGAAATTACAAACCTCTGCAACTATGATTATAAGGGTGTCATGTATAGTGGTGTATATCACCTATAAATACAAACAAAATATTCTCTTATTTTATCATTTTAGCCGTTGTACATCCACAGCACGAACAATTAGCAACATCCTGGAGTCCTGCTGTGTCCAGCCAGCATGATTCCTGAAAGACATGGCACCTTTAGTCATGGAAACAAGTATCCTACAGCTTCAACACTATAAAAAGCTGTATACTTGATACTGAAAGTGCAAGGGAGAGCACTTGTGAGCGTGTGTGTGTAGGGGTAGGGGAGTGTCGGTCTTCCAGTGTTTAGGAGCTCAGGAACATCAAGAGCTGTGTGTTGGCCAGGAGGCTCTCCTAGGGATAAACAGAGGGAGAAACTAATCCTTACTCTCCTTCACATCCAAGCAGGGTGCGTGTTTGTGTCCGTGTGAGTGTGTGTGTATTTATCTTCGGAAATGTGCTTCTTCCATGGCTGCTGAAACCAAGGTTGCGTGCGCATGTTGGTAAATGACCTTAAAGCATTAGAAAAAGATGCGTTACAGGCATGCATGTTCAGTCTAAGTCAATCACTGGCACATTTAGTAATCCATGTGTGTGTGATGACGGCGATGTCTGTGTGAGCGTGTGTATGTGAGAGAGATAGAGACTGTACTGATGGGGCTTTGTGTAATCGTGCTGAGCAGTGAAGCGTGTCGAGAGAAAGGACATGTCCTCAGCTCTGATCACATAGTCTACTAGAACGACAGTGAAGGGAGGGAAGGAAAGAGAAAGACAGACGCTTGTTAGGGAAGAAGAGGAACACAAAGCATCAAATGAAACGATGATGAGGAGAGGACGACTGACAAAAATGGAATGAGAGAAGGAGTAAGCTACGGTAAAAGGGAGAGGTTGGTAAATCAAAAGGGAGGTTTCAGAAGAAATCCACGAGCTAAAAGAGGGATGGAGGTAAAGGCAGAGAGTGATAGAGCTGGAGAATTCGGAAAAAGCAAAGAAAGAGAAAAGGGCAAGGAATTGATGCAGGAAACACGATAGTGACCAGAGTACAGTTGAAAGACACTGAAGCAGAGATGAAAGAATAAGAAGTTTAGATGGATATGGAAAGCTTAAAGTGCTGGTTTTATCCCCTAGTTTTTCCCTCTCCCCCTTCCCCTTTCCTCCATCTCTTGTGCATTCAGACAGATTTTCCTAGTTGCAGCAGCCCAAGAAAATAAAATCAAGCGAGGCGGCCCCTCAGCCGACTGGCTAATTGCAGAGGTATCACTGTGTCAAATGACTAATAGAGTTTCCCTTTCCGTCGCTAATCTGCCAGCAGGAGCACAGCCGCAATTTGTTTACTCTTTGCAGATGCAAGGGAGTACAAAGACACACCCGCCTTTTTATTTCCTCTCAAACACAATTTCACGCTGCCAGAGCGTTAGGTGTGAGACGTGTTAGTGGAAAGTGCACGTGTGTGTGTATCTGGTATACACAACACCACATGTTTCGTGATTTGTTTAATATTTCATGAAACACCCTGTAAGTTGTGTTCTGCTGGTCTTCAGCAAACTCATGATAGACACACCCTTTCACACTGTGTGTTTATTCCATATATAAACGTTAACGCTCAATAATATGCTTAAATCTAACCTCAACAGATCTTATTCTTACTTTCAGGTCCCGAATGACTTAATTTTTTGGTCAAAAATGCAATTACTTCAACAGCCTAAAGTCCCAATTTGCTCTCAAAAGTAAGGAACACGAGAAGAAACACAGGTGTACAAATACAAAATACACATGCATAAATCAGGCACCCACATCCTGATTTGGCAGGCAGTATTGGCCCCAGAGGTCAATCCATCACTCAGACCACACCATTAACTGAGCAAATCATAAATTCAGTAGCATACCATTTACTTAGAGTAGTTTAAGAAGAGACCGCAGAGTGTAGAAGGAAAGATTGTGTGAGTAGGAAAATGAATTGCATAAAGAGGCACGGGGAAGCAGAATACAAAGTACTGTAACAGAGTATGAAAACAAAAGGAGCGGCTAAAACAGTGATTTGGCAGCACATTTTGAGAGGATTCTTTCTGTTCTTTGTTCCCAACCATCTCTCTTTATCATTCTTGATTTTGTTCCTTTTTCCTTTACTTTTTTAGCTTATAACCAAGGACACTCCTTTTTAGTGGTCACAGCACAGGCTATAAAAATAATTTGACATGACATTTTTCCCTTCTTTTCACTGTTCTTCCACCCCCTCTTTTGCTCTGAGGTTTGTCCTGTCTGGTTGTCAAGTCTCTCGGTGAGTGCACACTGACACTGGTGGTGTTAGTCTAAAACCCGGACACTAATGAGACAGAAAGACAGACACACCGCAGACACAATTTTAAGACTACAGAAAAGTCTGGGATTTGCTTCTGATGGGAATAATGCTGCTTCATTACCCTCCTATACCCTCTGTTGTATGTGCTCCCTCCATTGCCTCGCATTTCTTTTCTTTTTCCTGTATTGACTGACTTTGTTCTCTAAAACGTGGCTTTCTCAGCTGCAGCCTTTTCTTTCCCCTGGACTCATACACTGTTTTCCTGCCTAATTCTTTGGATTGTCAAATTTGGGGCATCAGTGTGCACTAGGATTGTGATCCAATCGCCCTGTCTTCCCTAGTTGGATTGCCAGTAACTGACAAAATTGCTGCTGGGGTGGGCAAAGGGTTTAGTCAGTGTGCACTCGTTAAGGTGGTGCTGTCCATTCTCCATAATGCATGCTATGTGGCCTAAATACAAAAAAAAAAAAAGTACGAGTGGTAACCAGAAGTTGACAAATCCAAGCTGAGCAGCTGAAACGATATTAAGTCAAAAAACAAAAAAAGCTGGAAAGTCAAACCAAAGTACTTCTTCTGTTTTCTCTCATTTTTAAATGATGATGATCACGGGAGTGCTCCTTACATGCACATTCATTTTAAAGAGTGCAGGCATCCAAACACAAACTTGTCTGTACTTAAATGCTCATGCATGTCTGTGTCACCCAGGAGATAAAAAATATGCTAAAGTGATTACGTCATCCCTAAGGTTTCTTGTGCCGCTCATAGAGTTCTCCAGAATTGTTTGAAGAAGTTCAGTTCAAGAATATGGAATAGGATCGTTAAAGGAATGGTTTCGTCAGCCTTGTGTACAAAATAGGTTGGGCAGATCAGATGCATGGGTGTGTGTTTGTGTGAGTGTGCGAGAGAGAGATGGAGGTGAAAAAGAGAGTGATAAGAGGGTTGTGAAGGTCAGGTAAATGCCAGCACTCGAGACAGTGCTAAAGAGCAGGTTTGTTGGTCACGTAACGATAAGACACTCAGCCTCAGCACACTCTCACTTCCACACAACCTCCAGTCTTTTGTTAATTTGTGCTCTGGCTGGTAAACGCTCCTTGTCATCTGTTTATATGAAATGCATAGGATTCTATTTGCTTATATGGGGAGTTTTAGTCTGCCTCATCCAGGCAGGTTTTAAAGGCTAATTCTGTTTGTGATTGGAGGTTCATTGGCCTATGTTAAAGCCTAAGCCAATCATACGGCCGCATATCGATTACAAGGCTCTGTGATTTATTGCTTACTCCTTGAAGAAGATGTTTATGGTGTTTTTCACGTGCTGTTTTCAGTCTGCATATACCTGTGTCCTAATGATGGATAAGATGGATTCCCCCCCCCTCCACGGTCTGTCTCAGTGTTTTTACAGCCAAAGAAACGAGCCCCCCAGACTCACATTAACACCTTGATATATCACCACTCCACTGTTTCAGTGCATCACGGAGGGAAGACAGCTACTGTGCCCCTGAAGGCTGCTTACACCCTCCAGCAAATCCCAATTCAATTTCAAAGTCACTCCAAAGAGAGATGCCTTGTTGTTGTTTTATTTATACATTTTATGTATGTTTTTAGTCCTTTTTGATCACCAGGGTGACCTCACCATGATCTCTCAAAATGTGTGGACTCATCCCTTCCCTCGTATGAACTAGAGCAAAGTTTACATATTTTATTGCAGACTGATGGAGTAGTGTGTCATTTCAGTGACAACTCTAACAATGATTGTAGTCTCTCATTGTCAAAAGTTTTTTTTTCCTTGCCACTGTCTTAAACATGGGGGCAGAACTACTCCACAACCATTTTTTAATGTGCTGTTGGCACTGTAGGATTGAACGGGCTTTGACAAAAACAGGCGTTTACAGTGATTTCTGCTGTACATCTATCAAGAATTGTGTTAAATTGTCAATAGATTTCTGATATAGTATTTCATGTGTTTCATTTTATTTTACTAGATTATAATCTCTCTCTTTTAATCATGGGAATAAGGCCAATGTTTTTTTTTACCTATATGGAGTTTTTTCCAAATGACTGTTCATCACTGTGTTTGCTTTTCTGTCCTTCCTCTCCTGTGCTCGTGTCCTTGCCCTTCTCTCCTCCTCTTCCCTCATTCGCTCTCCTCTGTAGACCTGACCATGCGTATCCATGATCAGGTCCGTGACCTAAGTTATGTCCTCTGTCCCTACTTTCCTGCCATAGCACCCTCCTCCCCTGGTGTCGACTCCGCCCCTTTGCAGCGCACTGGAAGTCACGGCACAGGAACAGGAAACTACAACCGCGGCGGGACCAACAACTATGCCACAGTGGGGCCAGGCTACACCTCGAGTGGCGGTAGCGGAGATGTATATGGTTCAGATCCCTATGTGGCTGACCCCTACCGTACCCTGCAGTACTGCCCTTCAGTGGTGGAATCACCCTACAGCAAGTCAGGACCAGCTCTGCCGCCCGAAGGCAGCCTGCAGCGTTCACCTTCTATTGACTCTATTCAAAAAGATCCAAGGTAGGATGAAAAGAGAGTTGTAGAGTGTGTGTTGTGTGCATGAGTATCTGTGTATACGTGTATTCTTTTTTAGGGGTTTATTGGATCACATCTTGTATGTTCAACATAATAAAAAATACAATGCCTAGACACACGTACACATCACATGAGTCACTTCAGAGGATGTTATACTGACTGCTCAAGACTTTGTCCCAACTTTACAAAAATGTTAATAACACCTAGCTCTAGACACAGATTAATATAGTCAGCCACTGATCATGCCATTATTCAAACTTTGTGATCTGTCATCTGATTACAAGCTCCAATCAAGGGACATCTTATGACTGACCTCAGTTTGAATTGCCAACGCTCATCATATATTCATAACTCCAATCATGTTTCCGAAGGTTTCAAATTATTACTTTCAGTGAAATCACAACGGTGCTTTTGAGTTGCTTTAAAAAGCTTAAAATTGCAGTGTTCTTATAAACTCACAGTCAAAGCTTTTCTGCACAAACAGGTAGATTTCATGGTCTTGTGGTTAAGAAAAACCTTTAGTAACAGTCACACACTCAACTCAGCCATGACCATCAGGTTTTTTTCTAAAGCTCTCTAAAAACTGGTCTTTATGCCCGAAAATGCATTTACGCTGAAAATGTCTCAAAGTTAAGAACAGGCACGTTGAAGTAAGTGTGTTGTCTCAGGTACCAGTGTAAAAATTTGAAGGAACTTCAGATACCAAAACACTGAAGAAAGATTTTGCATATCTGGTTTGTCCACACTCTAGACTTTGAAAAATGAAGGTAAACAGCAATTATTCTTTAATTTGACAGGAAAATCTCTCATAAATATACAAAAAGTTTTTGCCAAATTAAACTTCTGTTTTTTTGTCCAGTGCAGCTACCTCATATGTACAAGGAAAAACGATCTAATAAGACACTGTTTTACTCCAGTCACACACCAGTTGCTTGAGACTTTTTTTTTCACCTCCCATAGTGTCATGCTGTGCGTAAAAGCATCCTACTGGGCTGTGATCACTTCCATCCTCTTGTCTTTGCAATTAAGCAAAGCTCATTCCCCGTCTTTTTTTATACATATTTCACAGGACTCTTGATGTATAATTCCTTTAATTACAGAGCAAGAGGGACTGAGGCGGGTGGATCAAGTCTCAGCAGCAGCTGTCAGTCACTGAAAGGGAGAAAGAACACAGTGAACAGAGAGAGTGGGAGATTATTAAGAACAGTGACAATGAAAGTAAAAAAAAGAGGGGGGAAATGATTAGCATGTGCACAGTCTGATGAAGGTAAAGTCCGTCACAAAATCCTGCAGTCTTACTGTAGGATGTGTCTACTTTTGATGATATAGTTAGACTGACTGACTCAAGACAGTCTTCATATTTCACAACAGCCAATGTACCCAATCAAGTGAAAGCTCATATCTGGTGAGTTTTGTTATTATAAAATAAACACAGCACTTCTGACTTACACTAGAATATCGTATCTGTTTACTTCACAAAAGGAACGATTATTGTCTTTTTCTTCGCACTCTGGACTTTGTTGTTCATAAACACTTCTTCTTTAGCAAAGTAGTATCAATTCTGAGCGAGGTATATGTTTTATTAAGGCATAATCTTCACACAGCAACAACATAACATAACAAAATAGTTGTAAGAGTAGACAGAAATATGTTTCCAGAAGGTTCAAAGAGATACTGGAGAGCCAGAAGTGAATATAGGTCAGTAAGATAAGAAAATGTGAGCGATTGCATTTTCACATCCTAAATCTAGTACTTGATGATGAAAAGAGGCATTGCATACCTAAAAGGCTAAATTAGCTAATCCGTTGTATAACTGGTTTTAATATATTAAGTTGTACGCTGAAATGTATTTCTATACATAAGTGTGTGTGTGTGTGTGTGTGTGTGTGTGTGTGTGTGTGTGTGTGTGTGTGTGTGTGCATGGAGGGAGAGAGGGTGTAAGTGGATATGTAGCAGAGGACTTTTTAGAACTTTTAAAAGTTGATTGTTTTGTAATACTCATAATACGAAAACAAAGCCAATGTAGGAGTAGGTTTAGCGCTTACATTTCACATACAAACACACTCAGGCATACGCACATTGTTCTCTTTATGCACTTGCAATGAAAGTGTTTATTGTTGGCCCTCTAGTGTTATTGCCACACTTGCTTGTATGCACAGTCAAGATCATTTTGCTTCCATTATTGCCTCAGGCTTCATGGATTTCTGTGCACAGATCCAGACAGAAATCTCATTTTTCCCCCATTTGCACTTTTTTTCCTCCAGCAAAGTAACAAGAAATGGTAGAATTGCAAGCATTTTGTACACTGGTTGAATTCAACACTAAAGATCTTTTTCGCAAATCTGAGCCTTTGTGGTGAATGCTGCCTGCAGATTGCATAGTGATTTATTACTATTATGTTACATCATTACTATTTTTAACTTTATGTACAGTTAAAGGTGTCTTTAAATGCCTAATTTCTAGCTGTATTTTTTATGCAGTTATCTTACTGTGCTTAGTATTGTTGAATTGAAGTGTGTTAGATTTCTCTTTGTCAGGAGGTTAAATGGCCTCCTACTCAAACTCCACTCTCTCTCTTGCTGTAATTGGATCTAGTTGAGCTAACATGAAGTGCTAAATGAGTTAGCAGCTATTAGACACAAAGAACACTGCGAGTGAGGGCAGAGGTTATGTGTGCATGTGTTAATGTGTGTGTGTGTGTGTGTGTGTGTGTCTGTGTGTCTGTGTGTACATGTGTGTACACACAAAACGAAAGACTATGTTTTTTATATAATCAATTAGCATATCTTATTTATTAATGTGTGTATGTCACTGTATAATGTGTGTGTGCATACATGGTAGCCAGTGACATACTGCTATTATAGCTGCAAAAGAGTGAGCATGATAAGCAAGAGGTGGTGACAGCAACATGAAGGGAAAACTCAATATCTGTCAATGGATAGCAGTACAGAGAGGTGGGAGGAAGACAAGGAGACAAGATAGATGAGGGGTGGAAGGAAGGAGGGAAGAAGGAATTACTGATGAGAAAGCTAAAGGGAGCAGTGCAAAATAAAGCTGGAGAAACAGGAGGAAGGGAAGAAAATAGACACAAAGAGAAAAGGAGGGAAATGCAGAAAGACGAGGGAAATGAGGAAAAGTTAAGGTTGGTCTTTAGGTGATCAACATGCATGGGGAGAATAAATATAAGAATAATAGAGGAAAAGTGCAGAGAAGGCAAGGGCAAAATATAGATACAGTGTCTCCCATTATTGTTTTGTCTAAGGCAGCGTCTCAGAAAGTTTGTGCGTTTCCCTCTAAGCGTTCTGCGTGTAAAGCGATTGTCACCCCCACTGGGTTTCTTTCTTAAAATGAATATTAAAAACAGTGTAGGGAGTGAGATGATGAGAAATGTTGAGTGCAGACTTGCATAACCAATAAACAAAGAGAAGAAAGAGGAGCGAAAGGCAATAATGAAGGGGAACATTTTTAACAAATGAAGGGGATTTGGAGACTCTTAAGTGAGTGAAGAAAGCATGGCATCTGCATTTGTTTAGGGAATAAGCTATACTGTACCTTGAGAGATTGAAGGAGAAGAAGACAGAGGGAGGGCACGATGTTGGGCATACAGGAAGAGAGAGAGAAACATTAACTTGGGGAAGATGGGAGTTAGGCACCAGTGGTTTTTGTTCTCAAACTTGGGGCTTAGGAAAGCATGTAATAGGGTGAGAAACAACATAAAGGGTAAGTTAGATTATGCAATGGGAATTCACTGCGCTGCAGTTATGAGGATTGACAGGAAGGAAGAAAGAAAATAGTTGGACCATTTCGATCAAAAACAAGACTACACCATTGTTTCAGCTGTGGGGAAATGCTCGAGTTATCTAATCGCACACTGAGCCTGAAACATAGACACAAGACTTCAAGATAAATCAAACTCTCGTCATTTAAATCAGACTCGCCTCATTTACATTTTCTCCTCCAAACGCATTCACGCAGCAGTGATGGCTGCAGCATTAGTAATATTTGATGTTAAAGTTTGTTAAAGACTATTTTAATTATTTCATGTGATACATGTTTTTTTTCCTTTAGTGTTGTAGTTTTGCTTACATTTCAAGGTAGCCAATAAGCTCTTTTGATGTTGCACATCTAATGTAAATAGTAAATCTAGTAGTAAAAGTCCAATAACGTCTTACTTTAGATATAAATTCTAGTTGGCTTTGACATTTTTCTTTTTAAATAACGGATTATTCAAATGTGTATATTTGTGTTAATCTGTAAGTTTGAAATAACTAACATGCCAAAAATATCATTTAAAAAATCCATATCCAACGTTATTTGAAGTTAAAGTAACTTAACTTTAAAAATACCTCAGTGGCTCTTTTTAGGAGCGACTGCCTCTAACATAAACTTAAGTTGCAGAACGTTTCCAAAGTGATTGACTGTGACTATTTATTGTCAGTAGTATCACACTCAACACTTTATTTCAATAAGGAGAGTGCCTAAAATGTGAACATCCAAAATACAAGTTGAATTTAGAAGAGCATAATTCCAAATGAAGGTAGGATATAGACCTGAGATAGTCCAGACTCTGATGATGGTGAAGCAGAGTAGTTGAGACAGTTGATGATGAGATTGGATGAGGTCCCCTGTGTGGATGAGGTGAAGATGGGGAGAAGGAGCGTTAAAAAACAGCCGGCCTGAAATGGAGATTGACTGATTAGAATATCCTAATACTAACTGGGCAAGAGTAGCGAATTTGACAACACTGGAAAAAAGAAGTGCCAAAGACGTGAACACATATCAGCAAGAGGAAGACAGAACATGAGCCACCCTTATTGAATGTTTCCAGAAACAGAGATCAGTGGTGACTGATCAGTGGTGGGCATGTCTGTAAGTGCATGCAGACTGAGTGTGTAGTAGGCTTTTATGTATTTGCCCAAGGCTGCGAAAGACAGGACAGAGGATGTGCATTTACATGTTTGTGTGTGTGAGAGAGAGAGAATCAT